CAATGGGCAACTGGCTAACTCATACTAAAAATACTAAACCTAGAACCAATAACAAAAGAATACTCCCTTAGTTGAAGTCAATCTTATGACAGAAAAGAAAAGGTCGATGTTGGGTTTTTTAATTGACCAAACACTAAAAGCGAAAGATCAGATGTTGTGAACAAGGCTGAAGAAGGGATATCCAGCTATACAACTATGACATGAATATCTCCTATCCACTTTCAAGTTCCAATCATACAATAGACCGATATAATGTAGGACGTGGCACAACATCCTCCCCCCTCCCCCTTTTTTTTCATTTTGCAATTCATAAGTCATCTCCACCATTAGTGATTATCACTATCTAAGCTTCAAAGGTTGCTATTTCCCACTCATTTTCAGTTCATCTTTCCAATTCCAATTTGGGTTTTGGTTATGCTTCCACCATTGATTTTTTTTATTTATTTGGGAATTTACTCTTGGTTTGCACCAAACACGAAGAAGCAAAGAAATTTGATTGTTACCATTACAGGACAGAAGAATAAGTTAATTGAGTCTCTAATGAAATATAATTTATTTAGTAGGAAATGGGTAAGGGATAAGTCGTGTTGTCTTTAATTTGCCAGTAAAATCATGTTTTCTCCTAAAGATTTCCAATAGTGTAGGAGACTTTTCATTGGAGAAGTTGCTATTGTACTGTTTGAATATTGATGTTGGCTGGAGGTGTTTGTTCTTCTCTTCAATGGATGCTCCTTATGGTAGGAGAGATTTTTTTTTTTTTTTTGGGGTTTGAGGAAAAGTAAGAAGAAGACAAGACGTAAAAGGTTTGAATGTCTAATGTTTGATTGTTGTTTTAATAGGAGATGATGAAGATAGTCCACAATGAACATGGGAGTGAATGAGGGAGAGAGGAAGGGGAAGATGAGGAAGTGTGACGATGAGGTGGATAGCAAGTGGCTCTGATTTGGGAAAAAAAGAGTGAAGTGGACGTCACATGGAGATGCTATCTCAGCATAATGGCTAACTAATGGTTAACCATTTGGATCAGTTAAATGAGAGCGACATTGTTCTAAATAAAACTTTCAAATATTCATAACTCCTCAACAAAAACCTGTAGGACAAAAATGGACCTTAACCCCATTTATTTTTACAAACTTCACCAATATTTGTTGTCACTTTCATGTCCTTTTCCCACAGTCTCTAGGAACTATACCAAACGATCACCTCCAAATATGAAATGAGTATGGGAAGCACATAGTCTAGGTCCTTCTTTGCGGAAAGGGAAGATTATATCATATTATGTTTCAAGGCTATTTGCATGCATATTATAACTTTGTTATCAATACCTTTTCTAACAAATTATACATCTCCTTTGGCAAGAAAATAAATAAATTATATGTCTTTACCAAAAACATACATGACTTGATAACATATATATCTCTCCTTGAAGAATATTGTTGTTTGTTTTGGTTCTACTTTATAGTATCATAAGTGGCAATGTAAATAATAGCACATTTTATTTTTCTTATAAAAGATATATTGTATACGTCTGTTGAGTGCGAATATATGGGGGGGAAAAAAACAGAGAGAGAGAGAGAGGATGTTTTTCTGGTATGTTCTTGCTTAACAGACGAGAAAAGTAACTCATGTTTGTTTAGACGTATATGGCCTGCTTTCTATATTTGCTTGATCTACGTGCCCAGAACAAATAAAAGAAGGCCTATAGAATAGACATAAATAGTATTTTTTGTAGCAGTGAAACTTATAAAATGATCATTATATATTCAAGAAAGAAAAAGTGGGTCAAATCATTTGCCAACCATTGTTTTTTCCTTAAAAAATAATTAATAAGAAATCAAAGAAAGAAGCATTACCTATAAGAAAACATTAATAAAAGTTGAAAAGGGAATCCAATTCCACCTTAATTTTTCATCATGTGAATGAGCAATGGTGACGAGGTACATATTATTTAAGTAAGATTCAGACAATGTTGTTATATTTAATTACAATATCCTAAGTGATCATAAATACTTTCTATCTGGCTTCCCAAAAGTCAAGAGGCTTAAGTTTTTCTAATATTTATGGAGGAAACTAGTTGGGTAGAAAGAGTCCAAAGTGTCAGACATATTATACGGTAAAAATTGACATTTAATTTAATTTAATATTTGGCCACAGAGGTTAAATACTTTGGAATCCTAAGCTAAGTTAAAGTATTGAAAAAGGAGACAGCAATTCTGGGGCAACGGATACAGACCTGTGTGTCTTATTAATCGAAATTCTTATTTCCTAATTTTTAATAAAAAATGGGTGACTCATAATTGAAAAAATATTATACATGTACTCTTCCAGTCCTAAATATAAAATCTTTATACACACTAATATAAGAGTTTTATATTTAGAACTAGAGGAGTATCATCAATATTAAAAGTACATTCTAACCATATATATTTTATTGTGGTATATTGACAAAGAAAGAAGGAAAACATATAAACCTCAAATTAATCATTTCTAGTTGTAATGACTTTCATAACATAAAATTTAAAATGAAATCACACTTTTATTATTTTTCATTCAATACTAATATAAACGCAATATATTTTTTATTTGCGAAATCATTTTGAATAATTTCTATAATAATTGAGTTGAAAGCAAGAAATTCAGCTCCTTAACAAAAGTTGAAATCAACTCGAACCCAGTCAACTTGAAATAACTTATGATGCATAGATTACAGAAGAAAAATACCATGTAATTTTTTATTTGAAGAAAATAAAGAAAGGAGGGAGAAAGACAAAAAAATTTAAAAAAATTCCCCTCAGTGTGCCAATCTCGAACTGAATATCACGAAATGGCCTAATTAATATGACGACGAAGAGCTCATCTGAAATTAAATTTTTCAACCAAATTACATAGATTTCTTTAATTTGAAATGTGAAAAACGCAAAAAAAAAAAAGAAGACAATAACAGTTTAACAAATAATAAATTTAATTTTAGAAATGACAATAACCCCAATTGCCTCGTAGTCAAAGTCAATTGGCATGAAAACTCTGTTACAAGTGAGAAATTTTGAGTTTCTAATTTTGGGGAGAAAAGCAAAATGAGTAAAATTCAATTTTACATGCCACTTGTTTTACTATTAGTATATTTTAGAAAATATATCTTCCTAGTCAGCAAATGATTAATTTTTCCTGTAGCTAGTTGTTCAAGCAATTGTTGTTACTATGAATTCTTTTTATTTTCTTACTCTATAAATCCCTATATTGTAGGTGAGAATAGATCATAAGCTTTTAAGATATAGTATTGGTTTTTAAATAGGTATGAAGGATTATTATGAACTTGAAAATGAAAAACTTTAAAAGAGCCTTTTAGGTCCTATCAATGAAAGCTCAGGGCTTGTAAAAAAAAAAAAAAAACTATCTTATGTTCTAGCCCATACCTATTTAACTAAACTTTAGTCTGATTTAGCTTATTTTCACTCTACCAGTGTCTTCCTTTTTGATTAAAAGAAAAATTACAACTAATAGAGTTGTCACGCCTAATTCTGTTGAGAATAATTTGGTGATTTCACAAAAAAGTTCATTTTATGATAAGCTCTAAAAACTTCATAGAAATTAAGCGATGCAAAGACCAACCCAGCAGAATTCCCATATTTTGATGATTATATATATGTGTGTGCGCGTGTCCTTCTTTCCTTTTTTGTACTTTTCATTTAAAGCAGGAAAAAGAAAGAGAGAGAAATGATCTACCAAAAAGACACGGCATGGTAGAAAAAGAGGAAAGCCTCAAATCTCGCACCAACAATATTATCGACACATAGAGGGGGGGAGGGGGGAGATTGACGTTTATAAGCTGAAAAAGAGATTTGAGGAAGAGGAAATGGTCCACACCGTGACTACTGTTTTTTTTTTTTTTCTTTTAACCAGTGACTGCTGGTTTGGTTTCACATAAAAACATGTTATGCGTAAACATAGAGTTGCAGAGCATTAAAGGATAGGTACCTTACCTATGTAAATCTATCATATATCTCTCTCTGTTGTGTTGTTATGTGTGTGTGAAGAAGAATATGTGAGAGAGAAAGAGAGAAGAGGAAGGAAAAGGAATCCTATTTCTCTCTCTCTCTCTCTCTCACATAGCCAAGTCACAACGGTCAGGTAAAACTAGGAGGGAATTGAAAAGAGAGAAATCAGAAATGAGAATGAGGAGGAAGAAAGAGAAATGGGGAATAGAGAGAAAACAAACAACAACAAAAACAACAAACACCAAATCTTCTGCTAACCCCGAAAACTACAACTTAAATACCAACAAATACTAAAAGGCCATTTTGCACTGGTTCCAGTTCTTTTGCTTTTGGCCCTTTTCCCCTTGTCTTCTTCTCCGTCTCCCTTTGATACTCTCTCCCTCTCTCCTCTCTCAAAAGATTTTTTGATATATGAAAAATAATATAAATCAGTTATTTTTTTGATAAATAAAAACTAATATACAGCATTTAAATAGGAGTGGTTTGTTTTTTAATGCAAACATTTTTATTCATAACGTTTAAAATAATGGTTACTTTCCGATTTTAGACCAAAAAAATAATGGTTTTTTATTCATTTACGTCTAAAACAACTGTGTTATAAATGAAAAAGAATTTCTACTTCATTTTACTTAAAATAATATATATAATTTGTATGATCCTTATTTATATATCACTTATTATTTTTATATAAGAACAAAAGGGTCATTTTTTATTTATAATTTTAAAATCATATTTTTATTGATTTTATTTCATTATAAATATTATGTGCGATTGAAGGACAGGCTGAGCAGAAACATTTTAAGCTCAATTATATTATACAAAAATATTAAATATTCAACCGTAAGATATGAGATTTCTTCTTGTTTACTTTTGGCATTTTCATGAGCCTCATCATCATCTAAAAAATAAAAATAAAATATTTCTCGTACTTTTAAAACGCAAGGCCTGGTATGAAAGCTCGCCTTCACTCGTCACCCTCTCTTAAACCCCCCAACACAACACAAACCCACTTCACTTCTCTCAGGTTAAAATGGTGCACCGCCATGAAAGCTCCGACGAAGCCAAAAACGACCCGCAAGAGCCAGCGAAACGACCCAAGTTTTCCATAAACGACGACGTTGACATTCTCCGGGAAATCCTTAAACGACTCGATGGTCCTTCTCTGGGTGTGGCTGCCTGTGTCTGCCGTCTCTGGTGCAGCCTCACTCGAAACGACGACTCCCTCTGGGAGCACCTCTGCTTCCGCCACGTGTCCTCTCCTCCTCCTTCATCAGTCCGCCCCGTCGTCGTCGCTCTCGGGGGCTACAAGCGCCTCTACATGGTGTGCGTGCGACCCGTTCTGAGTCGACTCGGAAACTCGGACCGGGTCAGGAGGCGAATCTGGACTCGTCACGCGGTTCAACTCTCGCTCTCCTTGTTTTGCATCGACAGCTACGAGAGAAGACTCAGTGGTGACGCGTCCGCATCGTCGCTCATGTTCCTCTGCAACCCCATCAACGTTTGATTTATTGAGTTTTTTTAATTTTTTTATGAAAAAAAAAATTTGCGATTCGTTTATTAATATTACTATCATCATGCCTTTCGCAAGCTGTAGCAAAATAATGATTAAACACTGTTTGGTATTGAACAATATAGGCAAACATTTACTAAAACAATATTAGGAAATAGGAAATATCTTTTTGTTTATTTAGATCTCTTTTTTTAAATTTTTAATATTGTTGGCATGATTAATTATATGTGTTAACAGAGTCAAAAGAATCCTTGGTTGCTTTCTTTTGTTTTTTATTTTAAATAAATTTTTGCTCGCTTTGTTGATTTGGTATGTGTTCATGGGATATGGACTTTTCTTTTCAGGAAAGCAAGTTGTTGTAATTAATGAAATTATTTGCATTTATGTTATACGATTATGTGTGTGTGTGTTTCTTTTGGTCAGGTATGAGTGTGTTAACTCTCTTATTTATGTGAGGACAATATATATGCTATAACTTTTATGGCGTCAGGGTTATAACTTCAAAGGTGATTAACGTAAGTAAGAATCTGTATTGGGTAAGCCTGAATGAATGGGAATGTATTTATTCCATTTATTTTTATTTATTTTTTTTATCCTTCCAATTATTTAATTTGCATTTCCTTTTTTTGATACTATTTGATTTGTATTTCTAGTAATTTCTGAAAATGTTTCCAACACACACATCACACATGCAGCCTTTAACAAAATTGGTGTGGATTTATAGTGTTTAATTTCAATGAGAAAGATACTGTGTTATATGTTCATGTTGATTTGAAGGGAAATACATGCCAGAGTTTTGCTATTTTCAAAGGAGTGATATTATGAAAGCATGTCTAAGAAAAAAGTATGCATTTATTTTAATTTATCTCAATTATTTTAAATTCACTCCTTATATATACCTTAATTAAAGCCCTTTTAGAATTAATTTTTGTCTTGTATAAATGGTGATATTATAAATCACATCATTAAATCATTAAATTTTTTTATTTGAATGTATAATTTCATTCTGTGTGTTATATGTATACGTTAATTTTTTTGGCCCAGATAAATTTAAGACACATAATAGTACATTTTTATACATCCCTCAAATTAAACTAACACAAAAAACCTTCCTTAATCGGCATAAAAAATCCAGAGGGTGAAATAATTCGGGTGCAAAATGGTATCATGAGGGTTAACTTTGTACATATTTTTGTATTACACAAAGATTGAGGTCAAATGACTATTTACTCTTTTTGTTATTAAATATAAGCAAAAAAATTGGAAGAATCCTTTATTATCAATTCAAATATAAATAATACTCCAAACTTCATGAATGTTGAATATGTTATTTACAAAAATAATCCTCCTCATAAATAATCCTTGAACTCTCCATTTTTCAATGAAAGAGTAATAATACCATTGGTTCAACCACACATTAGTTTTGGAACAAAATAGGAAAGATAGACAACCATTTTACATGCTAAAAATTATTTCTTAATGTGTGTCTCTATCTTGCGCTAGTCTCTCTCTCTCATTTCTCTCCTCCGTGAGAGCTTTTCTCACTCTACTTCCATGAATGATTGGGCCTTCATACTTTAGTTCTCTGGCATCTCTCTCCCCGATGTAAGTCAAAAAGAAGGTTATGCGGCTTGGGGGTTTTCCATTCTTCTTTTATGGTGATAGCCACATCCATCTATGTGGTGGCAATTAAGGGAAGAAAGATAATATCAAAGATGGTAAGATAGTAATGGCAGTGTGCAGGATGAAAAAGTATATTCAGAGTGTTAATTTGAATATCAAACAAGAATGCTTAACAGAGATGGCGGTTATGGAATGGAGATGTAAAACGAGCATGTTGGCGATTCTAAAGATTCATCATTCCTTCATGATGGTCTCAACCTAGTAAGCTTCTTAAATCCATTTACTTTGGTCTAGTGCTAGAATTCCTAGTTTTTCTACCCAGAACTTATGGCTGAGTCAAAAAATGATTGGAGGAGATGGTTGGAGTCTCATAGAGCTTGTGCATTGGTGCTTCTCTCTATGGATGTAAGTTGCATGGTGATAAATCTGCTCTTATAGTAGCAGATGAATTATCAAAAGGGATAGGACTATTAAAGTGATTCTTGGAACCCTCATCTCTTGCTTCTAACATGGTTATCAGCGGTTCTTCACTTCTCTAATAACAGTAGTGGCAACGCATGTGGCTTTTAGACTTTGATTTAGGATTAGGATTTTTGATGGAAGTGTTATTTGGGCTTAGAGTTGTGTTGTTTAGGCTTGACTCTTTATGTTTTGGTTTTTGATCCAAATTTACTTCTGAACTTCTGGTTTTTTTCCAATAAAACAAAAATACTTCCTACTAAAAAAATATTGTGATCTAACTTCAGCTTATGCTACTTAATATACTAAATTATTTTATAATAAGTTATATTGATGTTGATATGGCATAGGGTTAATATACAATCTTAATAATAAAATTTTGTGCTGAGAATACCAAGTACTATTTAGTTTTGAAGGGTGTAAAGTGTAAACTATGCACAGGCTTTTTTTTAAGGAAACAAAAATGCCATCCCCGTTAACTACTCAAAATTGCTGTTACTTTTTGGGTTGGTGGGGGCCACACTTGCCTCCGTGTCCTTATTTTCTCCATTATCACTCTCTTATACCTCTGACGCGTTGCTTCTTCTTCTTCTTGGGTTTCCTCACACGCCTCTGAACCACGCTGATTCCCGGCTTTTTTTCCAACCAAACATCACTATGCCATTACAACTCCTTTTCTTCCTCAGCACTAAGCTACTCTCCCTTCCATAGACACAAAGATAATAAACACTAGTGTGCTACTTCCTTCCTCTAGCCCTTAGTGTACCAAAATGTCACAGGCACTGAATCTAGCTACTTCTTGCGTCCACTTGCCTCCTCTGTTCCTAAAGTCGACGGCGTCCTCATAGCTCTCCCCTGAAACTGATTGCGTCTCCACGAAGAAGAAGATCCTCAACAATGAACTTTCCCTCCTCAGACGAGCATCTTCCACCAATGGCCCACATTCTTCCCCCTCCTTTTCTGATCCGATGTCGCCGTCCAAGACGATGGGTACACAATAATGCATTGCTCTGCTTAGGGCCGTCAAACGGGCGAAACTCATTGGGTTAGCCCTTTTAAGTCTTTTTAAGTGAAGGGTCAGATTTGTATTTTAGGTGATTTAAAAAGAAATTGTGTTTAAAAGAACTAGTCCTATAGAGCTCAAAAATAAAACGGCCAACCTTTTAGGGTTAAGGGCTAATCCTTTTGAAAAGAATTAGATGTCTTGGACTTGTGGAAAAACAATTAAAATCAATTTTCAATTCTTTCAAGAATAACAGCTGATATTCTTAACATTCTAATCACTACAATAACTAGTAAATCTTTATTTGCCATCAGTTTACATATCTTAACAAAGTGTAAAACTTTTCTTATTTGAATAAATGCTCAAGCTCTTATTTGTACTTATAACTACTACACAGCTTTATTTTAGATAAGGTAAATGAAGACAAAAATCTTAATATTTTTATCACTGAAAAAGAGCTCACTTGTAGTAAAGAACAATCAAGTATTGCTAATCTTAATGATACTGATGAAGATGAAGATAAAGATAATAATGATGTTGATATTGTTAATCTTTAATGGCTAGGTTTTTACTTTTCTGTTTTTCGGATTTTTGACTTTTTTTTTAATTTTGGACAATAGTTTATTGGTATTTAATTTTTTTTCCTTATACACCCTTAGTTTATTTTACTTATATTTATAATTTGAATAAAAAATCTTAGAAGTTTTGTTGTTTTATTTTTTTTATTTTAAAATAATTTAAAAGAATTTAAATTTTAAAAAATAACATAAAAGGACCAGCTCTTTTAAGCCCTGAGCCCCCATGTCTAAGAGTCGGGTTTTAATAATTAGATAATTTTAAGATATGTGAGTTTTAAAAAGCTGGCCTTTTTAGATCCTAACCCTTCAGGGACTAGCCTTTTGGGACTGGACTGGCCCTTATTGACAGCTCTAGCTCTGTTCCTGGAATGCTTATCAGTAGCAATGATGGTGGCGGAGGACACGTTCAATGGAGGTAGGTTATGTTGTTGATTTTAAGGAGAATTAAAGGTGGGTTTTGCCGTGTTAATGTGGAGAGGAATAAGGGAGGTAAGGAAGACGGTAATCTTCGAATTATATGAAGTTAAAAATGTGATGGGACCCGTTCATTTTTTCACTGGCAAAATCTGAGATAAGAAGAAGGGGAGAGCAAACAGGGACTCCCACATGTCATAGCCCAACAAATCAACATGACAAGTGGGACCCGCATTAAATAAAGAGACGTATATTTGGCTCCGTAACGTGAGTAACCAAATCAACATGATCTGTTTCTATTTTCGCACCAAGGTTCTCCGCAAACAATAGTTAGTTGTTAAAATTACAATTTAGCTTTGTAATATATTATTTTTATTTCTTAATAAAAGAACTAGATAACTGTAAACATTAATAAAATCAGTTCAGTTGATTATTTGTCACAAATATATATTGACATTTCTAAACTATCATTTTCAATTTAATCATGTGTATTGAAGCATGTTTCGATGGGAACATTTTACAATTAATAGAAATATTTTGAGAAAAAAAGAGACAAAGTAGATTATACTCTTATATTTAAGATCAAATTTAACTCTCTAGTTAACTCTTATATCAAAGATAAAAAAAACATTTACCACTTTGTTCCTTGCCTCCCCAATAAGAAACGGTGAGAGGAATGTTCCCCTTTGTAAGCTAAGGATATTGGGTCATTTGTCCTTTTTAGGACAAAGTGAGACATTTGGAGTTCTTACTTCTCATTAGGCTCTCTGTTTTTTGTTTTTGGCCCTTTTTTTTATTGTTAAGACTCAAATCGTGATAATTAAATAATATTTAACATAATTTTTTTTAATTTAGAACATACACATCGTAGCTTTTTTTTTTCTTTTAAAAAATGCCTGGACAACGAATTACATTTTTTAATGTCGTACCTTACTTCGCGGGTGCGTTTCTTATCGTGAAATAATCTTATATGACTAACAAACCATTTCATGGTGTTGGCAAAAAAAAAAAAAAAAAAACAAACCATTTCATGGTGATAAAAAAATTATCAACTTATTTGGAAATGTACTCTCATTTTTTGCATTTCTATTCGCTTATCTCAATTTATTTTTTAACTTAATTAGTCGTTTTTATTATTTAACTTTTCTTTCGTTTTGCTACCAATTGAAAAAAAACCATAATCAAATTTTAAAAATTGAAATGAGAAAATAGTTAGATGGTTATTTAATATTTATAAAAAATACCTAAAACTCTTTCAGTTTGTATATATTTGAATATTTTGTATCCCTACGGTAGTGCATTCTCATTAAGGACTTGTAGAT